GCCCTACAGCCCGACCTACCCCACCTCCCCACCGTACACCACCTCACCACCCTACCGACCAATCGCCCCCACCACCCCAGCCTACCGCCCGACCAACCCAACTTCCCCACCATACCGCCCAACCAACCCTACCTCCCCACCATACCGCCCAACCAGCCCCACCTCCCCACCCTACAGGCCCTCGTACCCCGCCCCCCAAACATCCACCACACCCCGGCCTCCCCGTCCTTCCTACCCTGTCCCGGGTACGTATCCCAAGCAGGGCGACTCGGAGCCGAGTGCAGGGTTGTCGCCCTGGCCGCCTGTGCCGGGCGAGGATGACCAGGACGGCCAGCCCGAAGAGGAGCAGGCCCAGGACGAGGAAGTCCTAGCGGGGGAGCCGCTGGCGCAGACCGCCGACTTGGCACAACGGCAACCCTTCAAGATGCAAGAGTCTCCGGCAACCTCCACGGCATCGACTACGACCTCCAGGACGACGAGCTTCCGTCCGCAGCAGAACGATGACAATATCGAGTTCCCTGCCGAGGAATCAGAACAACCGGTGGTACCGAACAGAATTCAGGCAACCAGGCCGAGTACCACAAACCCGGAGACGACAACCACAGGCAAGAAGCCGACAACCACGACCAGGAAGCCAACAACCACGACCAGGAAGCCGACAACCACGACTCGGAAGCCGACAACCACGACCCGCAAGCCGACAACCACGACCAGAAAGCCGACGACCACGACCCGGAAACCGACAACCACCACCAGGAGGCCGACAACGACGCGGAGGCCAGCGCCTGCAACCGGAGGTCCTCAAAAAGGAGGTGGTTTACAGTGTTACACCAGCGAATCCTCCACGGATGTGTCGGGTTATCAAGGTGAGCCCCGATAGTAAAATGAAGCAGGGTGGGTGGTGTGGCGTTGTCCGAAAACAAAATTCTCAAACTTTTTTTTTTTTTTTTTTTTTTGCTTTTCAGTGCCGGCTGCTGCTATCTCCCTCCGCCGCGGTCCGTCAGGTAATGAAAACAGATCACACGACACGTGTGCTGTCGATACGATCGAACACGTGTTGTTCGTTTTAGTAGTCGTCGGCCAAACGTTTTCACTGACTGGTTTTGCTCGCCATCCTGACAGGTTTTACAAATGAGGGTGACGTTGACGTTCTGCCCGGCTCGTCGAGCGCCGCCACAGTCGGTGAGTCAACCGAGGATGTTGCCGCCGGCGCCGCACGCGAGCTGCTTGCTGCTTGCGACCATTAACTACAACTGGATGCGCATTATGAACATGGCGCCTCACTGCTTTGCATTCTCTTCTGCATCTGTCTGTGTGTACACTCTTGATTTATGCCATATCTCACAGCGCCTAGTCCGGACATCGCCTCCTGCTCGGCGAACGATGACTGCGGCGAGTGGACGACCAATCGCTGGCGCAGAGAGAGGAGTACGTATACTATCGAGTTGTCGAAGAGCAGCATCTCGCCATGTTGTAAATCTAGTATTGTAGATTGGCAATCATCAAGTCATAAAATTTTCCTGAAAAATTGAAAACTTTCACAGAAAAAAAATATGAAAAAATTAAACTACTTCTAGAAAGTTTTGAAAAAAATAAAAACTTCAAGGAAAACATTCAGACCTGTAATACAAAAATTCCTAAAAAAGAATACGCTAATCTTGTTTGGTGGAGCTCAGGGGTGGCGCAGGAGGGCTTCCCGATGGCGGTGGACGAGCAGGTGCGGGTGCGGCTGAGCACGGTACGCGCGGGCGAGCTGCTCGTCGGGCTGTGCGCCGAGCAGGACGCCGACCCCGCGGACGCGGGCTGTGCCGTGGTGGTCGCCGTCGGCACCGCCGCGGACTCGGCGGGGCTGCGGTTCGAGACCAGGACCACGTCGAGCAACGACATCACGGACCCCGGGGCGCGGGTGGTCGCGAAGGTGAGGTACCACGACTATGGATTTTGAAATTCGAAATAACTTTACCAGAAAAAAAAATGAAAAAAATATTCCCAGAAATTTCTGTTTTAACAATTGAAAACTATGAAACATTTACGGGAAAAAATCAGACTTTCAAAATACTTTTCTGGAAAAATTAAATCCCCAACCACGCTGTGGTCGGCCGCGCTTGACCTCCTCCAGGCACCATCGGGCGGCGTGACTCCTCTCCCCAGCGGCCGCAAGTACACCCTCGTGCTGCACCGCCGCACGGAGGACAAGCTGGACGTGTGGCTGGACGGGCGGCCCGTGGACAAGGTCAGCGTCGACCTGGGCCCCGGCATGTCGTTCTTGAAGGCCTCGTCGCCGGCGGGGATGGTCACCTTCGTCCAGGGTAGGTTAGGGGTGCGGTGCGGTACACTGTACTGACAGCCCCTATCCACAACCATCCTAAAAGAACACGTCCCCACACCACAGGTCAAGAGGTGGACGGCTACCACATGGAGGTCGGTGAGCGCGTCATCGTCCGCCTGAACGTGACCCGCGACGGCCTGCTCGACCTGGGGCTGTGCGGCGACCGGGCGTGCAGCGTGGTCCGCGTGACGGGCGCCGACGACAAGGGCGCGTTCGGCTACTCGACCAGGATCACCAGCTCCAACAGCGTGACGGAGGAGCGCGGGCAGGCGCTGCAGCAGGTGAGGCTCGTCCCGGAGGCTGGTAGTCCTGGTAGTCCAACCTCCTTGACGACGACCCTCCTGTCTTTTCGCAGCCGTCGGGCCCAGACTCGTTCCCGCTGGGCAGCAGCCAGTCCTTCGTGGTGGCGCGCAAGTCCGAGTGGGCCATGGACGTGTGGCTCGAGGGCGACCCCGAGCAGAAGGCGACCGTCCCGCTCGAGCCCGACCGACTCCGGCTAAAGGTCGACTCGGACGCGGGGCCCACGTCATTCGTCAGAGGTGTGCGGTGTAACGATATCACAACGACAACGTCCGATCGTCGACATCGTTTCGATATCGCCCGTGAAGTCGTTTTGCTTTCATCGCTGTGATATCTTTGTGACATCGTGGTAACATCGCTGCCGATGTGGGGGCTGTGGGGGATGCGCAGGTACCGCGGCGGATGGCTTCGTGATGCAGCCGGGCAAGCGCGTCGTCGTGGAGGTGGGCGTGGACACGCCGGCCGGCGTCCTGGACGTCGGGCTGTGCGGCGCGACCGCCTGCGCCACGGTGCGCGTCCAGGGCGCCGACGACCGCGCCGGCCTCGGCTACACCACGCGCACCACGGCCTCCAACAGCGTCTCGGACGAGGACGCACCCCAGGTGAGAGAGGACTGCGGACAGCGGGTGACATTGCGGAAGAGTCGTCCGTATCATCGACGCCGCTCAATCTGCGAGGGGCACTCAAAAAAAATTCAGTGTAGACCCACCAAAAAACAAACAGAGAAAAAGACAAGGAAAACTCGAGGAAAATTTGATGAAAATTTATTAGAGAAAATCAGGAAAGTCAGGAAAATTAGTGTAATGCTTGAATGTCCATTGAGGTAACCCTCGTTGTCCTGTCCCCTCTCTCCCAGACCGAGGGCAGCGAGGTGAAGGGCTTCACTGCCGGTCGCAGCCTCCGCCTCATGGTCCAGCACGCCCCTCCCGCCGGGGGTCGTCCGGCGCAGCTCCGGGTCTGGATGGAAGGCGACGGCGATGGCGACGGCGACGATCAGAGGATGGCCGTCGTGGACCTCGACGCGGACCAGGGCCGACGGCCGCGACTCAAGCTCGCGTCCTCGGTGGGACCCACCACCCTCGTTCAAGGTGACTGATCGTCGCCGTGCGAGGGAGACGAGGGTGTCACGTGTCACTGGTGGTCTTAAACGAGAGGGTGTTGTTGCTACTCGCAGTGCTCACCGAGGGCCGCGAGCTGGCCGTCGGCGAGATGGCGACCCTGGTGCTGACGGTGTCCAAGGAGGACGGCTGGCTGTGGCTGGGGCTGTGCAGCGCGGACGCGTGCAGCGCCATGGGCGTCATCGGCGCGGGCGAGGACAACCGCTTCAGCTTCACGTCCAGGATCACGACGAGCAACAGCGTCGTCGGCGACGGCCCCGTCTGGCAGAGCTCGGTAATAATTTAAAATGTTTGTTATTCCACATTATTTTGCAGCAGAAAACAAAAGTAAACCGTCGGCAGAATATACAAAAGAAAAACGCACTCGGTTTTACTACTCCGGTAATGCCGTCCTCTAATTACCGGTTGTGGTTATCCATCTGCCTCGCAATTATTACGAATGCGACTCTGTCTGTCTCTGTCTGTCTCTGTCTGCCTCCGTCTGTCTCGGTCTGACTCTGTCTCTCTCCGATCCGCCGCAGACGCGGGGGCCTCGCAAGTTCATCTCCGGCCAGAGGCTGCGCTTCGTGGTCCACCGGCGCACGGCGGGGCTCATGGACGTGTGGCTGGAGCCCGCCTCCTCCAGGAAGACCACCATCCCGCTCGAGGAGGACCGCGTCGTCCTCAAGGTGGCCTCGGACGCGGGCTCCGTCGCCTACGAGGACGGTGAGTTGCCATGGAGAGGTGTTTTGTGAACGAGTTTGAATTTTTTTTGGCGGGAAACCCTCGCGATATACGATCGGCGGCGCTTCTATTTGTTCCGCTGTTCACCATATCATCTCATGATGAGACACACCCGAGGTGCGACATCTTGCTTCACTTGGATTACAACACAGCGACCGGGTCACCGTTCGCCACACCACCTCGCATATGTTGCTGTTCATTATGCTTAAAATACATTGCGACGGGAGCGATCGTCCGTGCGCTGCGACAGAGACGCCCGCGCCGCTTCCCCCGCCCGCCGCGCTCTCGTTGGCGACCTTCACATTCTCTCGGGAGAGGCCTTCCTTTTTGCTTTCGCCAAATACGGCGGCCAGCGCGACCCGCCGCCATGAGAAGGTGGTGGTGGTGGTGACCCATCGCTCTTCTTTTCGAACCGCCTCCGCACGAAATACATTCGCTGAGGTCGCGGGCAGCCGCCGAAGCTCTATAATTTCCGTCTCGGTCCCGGTGCGCGGTCCGGACTAACCCGCGCGCTGGCCTTGCCGACCGCTCCTTGTACAGAGTGGTGTGTGCGCCCGACCATCTCAATCCCCCCCTCAGTGTCCCAGAACAACGCGTAACAGAAGAGACTTATTTCGGCAACCCGGACCGCTGGTGACCCCGCCCGGGGTATAGGCCTCCCCCGCTCGTCCCCGTCGCCCCGCGCGGCAAAGAGACTGCCTGACTGCCAGGCGTTTGCCCCGACGGGTCCTTTCCGATAAATACAAGTTTACACCAATTTCGATGTTTCGTCTAAATTTTATCCTTTTCTTCTTAGGTTTTTTTTCTGATTTTTTCTGGTCTTTTTCCGATTTTCTCTGTTTCTCCTAATGATTTTTTTTGTCTGATTTTAGTTGAACTTTCCTTGTTTTTTTTCTGACTTTTCTGATCTTTTCCGGGGTGTTCACTAATTGTTTTAAGGGGGGATCCTAGTGTAGCGGCTCAAAAACAATGCTTATTTTGCGAATTTTGTATTTAAAATACTGTAGCTCGTATCGAAAATTTGAGAACAAAATTAAAACATTGAAAATTTTTTCCTCAAATCCAGTACTAAAAGTTTGACTTGCTCAAAAAAATACTAAAAATAATTTTATCGCAAAGATCCTAGTACCAACCAAAGCCAGGTTCCTCCTGAACAAAACACCGTTTCGTACGACTGTTTTAGACGCACCAGTCCGTGGGAAAGTGTACGACCAGCATAGCGCCACACCTGTGACACGCCATCTTTTACCAGGGTGTGTCGCCGCAGTTTTCAAGCGATCAGGACGTTTTTACTTCAGTTTTGTAGATGAAACTGCCATCTTTTAAACGGTGTTTTGTACAGTTTGGTAAGATCTATAGTTTTTTTTAAAATAATTCCCAAAATTACCCTTGTTTTTGAGACGCTACACTAGGATCCCCCCTTAAGTGAAGCACCCCTCGGTTCTTCGCCGTACTGTTGCTCCCCCGCCCCCTTCCCCCACACTTCCGCTCCCCTCCTCCTTCTGCATGTGGACTTCGCAAGGCATTCCACGAGCAGCAGCCAGCAGCCTTGCTCTCGTGACGTCAGTGGCGTGCAGTGCAGTGTCCGATTGTATGTGTGCGTGTGTGTGCTCAGGAGGCGCGGGCGGCTACCAGCTCTCCGTGTCAGAGCAGGTGCGCGTGGAGGTGCGGCCGGTCCGCCCCCAAGGCTGGGTGTTCGTCGGGCTGTGCGGCTCCGCGACGTGCACCGTGCTGGGCGTGGGCGGTGCGACGGGCGGCCGACTCAACACGGCCACCAGGGTCTCCGCGGCAGGCAGCGTGCTGGCGCCCGGGCCCGTCATCGAGGAGGTGCGCACGGTCGTCCGCGACCCGGAGGATGGAATTTAAAAAAAAAATACTGAGCATTATTGAATAAACCCTGGAAAGTTTGCGGGAAATTTCCTGAAATTTTCCGAAAGAAAACAAAAATTTCCCAGACCCTGGAAATTTTCGTGTTTTTTAAAGGAATATTTCGGAAACTTTCCGGAAACGGTCCGAAATTTCTAACCCTAGATGACCGCTTCCCTCATGTCTTCTACAGTCGCCGGGAGCCGACACCTTCGAGGTGGACGCGACGCTCACGCTCATCCTGCACCGCATGTCGGAGCGGCTGCTGTCGGTGCGCGTGGAAGGGGGCGCCGGCGGCCAGGCCGACCTGCAGCTGAGCCTGGAGCCGGACCACGACCGCCTGGACGTGGTGTCCGCCGTGGGCTCCACCCGGCTGCTCTCAGGTGCGCGCTGAACCGCTCGCAAATTCGCGACTTATTTTCTTTTACGCATCGTGTTATTATAATGCTATTAGTATTTCTCTCCCGCGGGGTACTTAAACGCCTCCCGGGTGCCTATCTCAAATCTGACCTACGCCAAGTCCATCACAGTTCTCAACCGTATTTGACGGCCACATCTCGCCTCCTAGGGGTCGCTGTCGACGGCCACCTCATGGCTGTGGACGAGAGGCTCCGCGTCCTGTTCAGAGCCTCCCGCCCGGACGGCTGGCTGGCCCTCGGCCTCTGCGACGAGACGTCCTGCAGCGCCGTGCGCATCGTCGGCCTGCAGCCCTTGGCCTACACCACCAGGGTGACCCGCGGCACCAGCGTCGGCGACGTGCAGGGCGAGGTCCTCGAGGAGGTGCAGCCCGCGGGAGCGGCGGCCTCGCCCTTCGTCGCGGGCCGCAACTACACCCTGGTGGTGCACCGCGCGTCCACCAGTGCCCTGGACGTCTGGGTCGACGGCGACCCGGGCGCGAAAGTGTCCGTCCCGCTGGGGCCGGACAGGACCATCTTCAAGGTCGACTCGAACGCGGGCTCCACCTTCCTCGACACGAGTAAGGTCGCTCCGGCTGGTGCGGGTGCGCCGTGGAGCGGGACGACGGGGTGCTCACGGGGGACTGTCCTTGTTCTGCAGGGGGCGCCGCGGACGGGTGGCCGATGGCGCCCGGTGACGCGCTGTGGATCTCGCTCGACGCCAACGAGGCCCAGGGCCGGCTGTACCTCGGCCTGTGCGGGGACACGTCCTGCAGCGTGGTCAGGGTGCGCGGCGTGGAGGACAACAAGATGGGCTACACCACGGCCGTCATCGACACCAACAGCGTGTCCGGCAGGGGCGACGACCTCGCCGAGGTAAGAGCCCGTCGACGGGGACGCACCCGGACCTGACCTGCTGGCGTCACACTCTGCAGCTTATTGCTCACGACGGCCATGTCCGCAGCAAACGGGCCCGTTGGGCTTCACTCCGGGCAAGACGCACGTGTTCGTGGTGAGGCGGGCGCCCCGGTACGGGCGCGACGGCGGCATCCTGGACGAGGTCCTGGAGGCGTGGCTCGAGGACGACCCGTACAACAAGGCCGTGGTGAAGCTCGCACCGGGCAACAACCGCTTCAAGGTCACCTCCACCGCCGGCCGCACCATGTTCGTGAGAGGTGAGTGACCTTGGGGTATCTTGAGAGTACCTTGGGGTACTTTTCGGTTACCTTGGGGTACCTTAATGGTACTTTGGGGTACTTCCCGGTTACCTTGTGGTACCTTGAGGGTACCTTGGGGTACTTTCCAGTTACCTTAGGGGTTAGGGGTACCTTGGGGTACTTTCCGGTTACCTTAGGGGTTAGGGGTACCTTGGGGTACTTTCCGGTTACCTTGTTACCTTAGGGGTTAGGGGTACCTTGGGGTACTTTCCGGTTACCTTAGGGGTTAGGGGTACCTTGGGGTACTTTCCGGTTACCTTGGGGTACCTTGAGGGTACCTTCGGGTACTTTCCGCTCCGGTTACCTTAGGGGTACCTTGAGGTACTTTCCGGTACCTTAGGGGTATCTTGGGGTAACAAACGCGCACCCCCTGCAGGCCGCGAGTGGGTGAGCGAGGACGAGGCGTCCCCGCTGGTGAGCCCTGCGCTGTCGCCCGTGGCCGCCGGCGCCAAGGTGTGCCTGGAGATGGAGTACCTGGCCACCAGGACGACGCGGCCGCTGACTCTAAGCGCCACCGGCATCCTCGGCAGCGCCGCCGTCGGCACGCTGCCGCTCGACCGGGTGAGCGAACGACGACAAGCTTGAAGCAAACGTTTTGTGCTGACGTGCGCCCTGTTGGCTGACTCTTCTGGTGGTGCGCGCAGGTTGCGTCCTGGCGCCGCAGGACGGTCCTGGCGTCGGTGCCGGAGCAGCAGGACGGCTGGACCCTGGAGGTGCGCGCCGCGCGCGGGCTGCGGCTGCGGAGGCTCGCGCGCTGCGAGCTCGGTAAGCAGAAGCAGACTGCCTCGTCGAGGACCGAAAAGGGCTCCTCGTTGAACACTACATCATCTTGGTGTGGCTTCTCTCTGCAGGCCGGAGCGACTCCGTGGTGATCGCCTCGCCGGCTGCTGGGGCGTCATCGCGACGTCGACGGAACAGGAGGAACCGGAACCAGCGATCCGGTCAGCAGCAGCGCCACCGCGGCTACCGACAGACGGGTGGGTCTAACTGAAGCACCTGCAGCACCTGCATTATGCACTCCACTGGCCTCCCAGTCCCAGTCAAACCGGAGGAAGTCGTTGACGTGAGCTCATTGTTGCTTTCCTCTTCTCCAGGATCCTGCGAGAACGGCGGCTTCCGCAACGCCAGCATCAGTGAGGGGTGCGTGTGCCCGCCAGGGTTCGCCGGCGACTCCTGCGAAGCCGGTACGGTATTCGTAATGAACACTGTTTAAACATTTTTCGGATTTTCAAAAGGAATTTTCTTGTGACCGGCCAGTGTTGTTTTTTTTAACAGATGATACCTTAAATAGCTTTAGACTAAACATAAAACATACAGGGTGGTCCACAGACCCCTTCCTTTATTTTGCTTATACTGTACCGCATGCAGGCGTGCGGGCGGGCTTGCCTATCGTTGCTCACTACGGCGCCTTATGGCCCCGTGCGAGTATGCAACCCGGTCGCACGCCTGCATCCGGTACAGTATAAGCAAAATATAGGAAGGGGTCTGTGGACCACCCTGTATACATATAAAACTTTAAGGTGTCAGCAGCTTGTACTCTCGAGAAGGGCAGAGAACCAAAGCGCATGACGTCACCCAGATGTATAAG